AAAATTCAGCTTCATAATGAAGACATGTGCTCGAAGTGAGATTAAAAATTTGCTAGTAATACTTCTATAGTGGAAAGATTCAGTGGCGGTTCTAGACATATGCGAACTAGGCAACTGCCTGGGGCTCAATCTGGAGACCCATCTGGTTTGCGCTAGCCAAACGCCAGTTCGTAAGGACCATGAGCAATAAATACTTCTACAACCATGTGGTGTAAGCATTATTAACATATTGTTTGTTGTCTTATGGTACTGTTGAAATGGCGACTAATTAAAAACTTGTTGCTATTAAATCTGTTTTATTACTTTTAGAATATTTGTTCTCTAAACCATTATCTGAGAAAAGCCTTTGTGTGTGTATATTTCCATTTATAACTGGGAAAACAACTGGACAGATTGCCACTAAACCCGATATATGTTCCTATGATCCACATGAGAGGTCGGCGTTTGAAGCTGTTCCCGTCATCCTAGGGGTCCTTTTGTCTTCCACGTGCGTTTAACTGGTATATCAACTAGTCATATAATAATAATTAATAATATGTACATACAATAATTCTTAATTATTAGTTTCTGTCATGCATGTACTTGAAATGAGAGAGACGTAAATGAACTTCATCAAAAAATAGAAATATATATATACTATGTATGTATATATAGCAATAATAATTCATAATATGTATATACTGCAATTCGCAATTCGTAGTTTCTGTCATGCATGAACTTGAAATGAGAGAAACGTAAATAAACCTCATTAAAAACACAAAAAAGCAAGTGCCAGTAGAACATGGGGAATTGAACAGTGTGTGCATATTCATTGGCCCATGTAAAATTCCTCCCTAGGGCCCAAACTCTCGTTCAGCCACCACTGGGAAGGTAGGCCAAGACGAAAAAGACAGAAAATTAAAAGACAAAGAAGAAGAAGCTTACAGAAAACTAAAAGAAAATCAAGAAAAAAAGATATACAAAATTAATAGAAATGGAAATTTAAAAGAGGATTTAGAAGAACGAGATATTAGATTTACAGTAGGATTACAAACCAAGATCAGTTTGATGGAAGACAAGATACAAACTGTACAGACTGAAGCTAAAAAGGCTATAGGAAGAGTGCAAAACATAATCACTGAAGAAGTACAGAAGTATTTTGAGTACAAGATCAAAGAAGCTCAGAAAGATGATAACAAAAAGATCGAAGAAGTCAAAGTAAATGTAAAAAAGGACATCAACACCAGAATGAAACATCTAGAAACTGAACTGGAAAATGTAAGGATCAGACCTGCCACGCATCTCTCAAAATCTGCTCCAGAGTTTCAACCTCAAACACCATTAGCTAGGCAAAAAAGAACTGTTTACAACTGTTACCACTATTGGTTTGCTACCCATATCTTAAATACTTTTCTGGAGTACTTCAACTACACCATTACTTCATCAGGTTCAGCAAGGCATTTCAACAATATCACTCAATAAATAAACCCACAAACTATGATGAACAGCTACCATAAGAGGCATATCGGGGACAGCTTGAAATAATTTACAAAATGAATGGATGGAGTAGTGAACATTGAGCTAATCATGTTAACAGCTTTAACAACACTAAGCAACCTTCTTAGAGAGAGCCGTAACAACTACTAGGCATCAGCAGCTGCTCAAACAGATTTGGGAAACACACCACAAGGAAGTTTATAAAGCAAAATTCAGGAGCGGCGTAGGAATGAAGGATAAGACTGAAACATGCTTAAAGATGTGGAAAGGCTTGCCCATTTATCTTATTCAAATGGTCCACGTGATGAATTCGTTGACATGTAGCCAGTTCGTATACGCCATAGTGGATCGGGATATGTGAACTAGGCTAATGAAAAGTAGATGCACACCTTCAAAGGAAGCTGACCATTCGGCGCTGGAGCTTGATTAACTTAAAGCTGCAGATAAACAACTCAAAGCACCATCATGGACTTATGGGATCCTCAGATCAAATATTATGGAAACATCAACAACTTCTGATGGAAGTTTAGAATAACTCAAAAGATTAGTTAGCCAACATTTATCTCAGAATGGAAAAGTAAACCATAAAACAGAAAGTGTTTCAATTGGAACTTAAAAGGGCATTTTGCCAGGAAATGTGAACAAAATCCTTTAATTAGACACCTGGTTATTCAGGATGGAAGAACTTAATCACAAAATAGAAGGTGTTTCAATTGTATCATTAGAGGACATATTACTAAAAACTGCAGACAAAAGCCTTTACGAAACGAAAACTGCTCCCAGTGGATGACAAGAAAAGGAAACTGATATATATAAAACTTGAACATCCCAGACTTTAGTTAATCCAGAAGATGATACCCCGAAGACGAGAATACACCAGTGATATTGCGATTTCTATTCTTAGGTAGGTTCTTTTTGGATAATTCTAAAAAAGAAGAACGCAAAGTCCAGTCTCACGTAACTAGCGATACGACTAACTTCACACACACACAAAATAGGCTTCAATAGACATTCCATTTTCTAGCTAATTTTCTCGTACAGACGAAGCTTCTAGTATCTCTCGTAATAAGTAAAAATACAAAATCAAATAGCGCTGAACTAACTAGCGGACGCGAAAATAAATCAACAAACAATCTCTGGTCTAATTCGCGTTTTCATATCGTTAATATTGATTTCTACACTTTCAGGAAAGTTCTGGCCATTATCTACCATGCACTCATTACGTAATCTAGTCAAACACAAAACAAACGTCTAAGTCAGAAAAATCATAGCCTATCATAATGTTTTCTTGTAGATAATGTCTTCTTTGTTAATCCCAAGGATGCACAGAATTAAAATTCACTTAGTCAAATGAAATGCAATTTAGAAAAAGCAGTAACTAAAAACCCTCTTCTAAGCATCAAGTGACCAAAACAAACCATCTACTCCAGATGTGATTTGTCATATCATGTGGCCAATAAAATACTATTCTAGTCCAGATGGGATTTGCCATAACATGTGGCCAATGAACTTAACCATCTGACTTTCGTTGGTCTTATAAATCATAAGAGTAAATAAAGGTTATTATATACATTTGTTACAGCAGTAGTCACATATCATCTGCTGTAGGAAATATAAATAACCAGTCATAGTAACATACCGGTTAAGTAATGTCTACCTTATGAAGACTGAAATAAATCTGGTTTCTCCACCAATAAGCAAACATCGATACTGTCTTGAGTTTGGCCAATACAGTATTAAACTTATACTTTATACAATAGAAATGGTTACTATAATATAATATAGTCTGCTATGATTTGTCATATCATGTAACCAATGAAATAAAACATCTAGTCCAAATGTGATTTGTCGTGTCATGCAGCCAATTAACCAACTTATCTCTTCCAGCTAGGGTTTGTTATATCACATAGCCAATGACCAAAACATGCAGTCCAGCAATGACCTGTCATATCATGCAGCCAGTGAATCAAAACATGCAGTCCAGGATTGATTTGAAATACGGTGTGGCAAATGAACCAAAACATCTATCCAGCTATTGTTTGTCCTATCATGTTGCCAATGAATCAAAACATCTGGTCGAGCTATAATTTGTCATATCGTGTGATAAATTAACCAAACTATCTAGTCCAGCTTAGGTTTGTCATATCACGTGGTCAATGAACCAAACCATCTAGACCCCATATACTTAATATTTTGGCATACCTTTGAAAATAAAAGCCTCTCCTAAAAGTAATTTCTCACAAATTTCATATCATTTGGTAAATAAACTTTTTATGTTAAAATAGAGATTCGATATGTACATTTGATTTTAAATAAATATATTCTTTAAGTTAATTCGATTTTATAAACAAAAATGGCGTTAGCTTTACATAATCAATGCTATTTTTATTGTGAAGAAGCAAGTCTACAATAATGGTTTGTTTGTTTGTAGTTAAGCACAAAGCTACACAAAGGACTATCTGAGCTCTGCCCACCACGAGTATCGAAACCCGGTTTTTAGCGTTGTAAGTCCGCAAACATACCGCTGTGCCAGTAGGGGGCGTTACAACAAGCAGACAGCACCTGACATTTTTTTTTGGAAGGCAAACAAACATTACTATATTTCCATCAGTTCTTTCTAGAATGTCATGACACCCACATCACTAGACTGGTTATATTAACAGTCAAATGTAAATCTTTAACGTTGTTTCATCTCTTCCAATTAGCCTTCAATAATTTTTTATAGTAACTAATAAACAATCATTTTGTTTTTTTCTAAGGAAATATTAGTTCACCTGTTAATAACAATATACCTTTCTAGAAATATTACACAAAACAAAAAATTAAGAAGGTTGGAGTAAATACAGGATTGGTCAAAATTAAGCCTCAATGGATAAGTTCCACTACCGATATTTTTCTTTTTTTCCGTTACGACCTTTATCTCACCCAGTATGGGATCGGCCGGTATTTACTTGAGCCAATAATTTTTACATCCGAGTGGCTGGCCCATACGGCAACCATATAGGACGATCATGTTCGGCGACGGGGATTCAATCTAGCGATTCTCAGGGTGCGCGTTGAGCGTCCTAACCAAAAGGCCCACCGATAGTCATAGACATGCCAAATGCAAGAATGTATTCGTTTACTATAGACAAATTGGTGTCCCTCAAATAAAAATATGTTTACTAAATGTGTGTGTTTGTTGTGTAAGTTTGAAATCCTCACATAAAAGTTCATTTGAATATTTGTTTTCGTCCATCCTGTAGTTTATTGGAACCAGGGGCACAAGAGACATCAAGAAAGTTAAAACAAAAAAACAAAAAAATGAAGGCAAAATAGAACTAATAAAACCCTTCTTTTGAAGCTTGGTTAGGTTTAACATATTAAAGCCCACACACAACAAAAAAAAACGTAATCAATAAACAATCTTGGTAATAAACTAAGTAATCTTTAAACGAACATAGTTTTACAATTGGCGTTAAGTTTAAGTTTTAACGAGGTAAAGGATGTAAACACTTAGTAACACATAAAGGTGCAAATATTACCTGCTGCGTGGCTTGGGAGATAAGGACCTACTAACTTGGCTTTCTTCTTCTCATACCCTTTTTGAGTGATATCACCTGAAACATGCGAAAAAAGCAAGTGTTAGAAATTTATTTTGAAAATTATTTTTATAGAACGGTCACTATACATAAATTTGTGGCATATCCTTTTCATGGCACTATATAAAGGAACCCGAGGGACATATCTTAGAAAAAAAATCTAACTTGCCAGCCCAGAGAAAGGGAACAAGAAGTGGGAAACTCTTCTTGTCCAAGTGTAACATCCCCTATATAATCACTAGACTTAAAACACAAAACAGCTAAAATTTAAGTACAAACAAGTTACTCCTTTACATGTTCTGGTTTGTTTTGTTTTGAATTTCGCGCAAAGCTATACAAGGGCTATCTGCATTAGCCGTCCCTAATTTAGCAGTGTAAGACTAAAGGGAAGACAGCTAGTCATCACCACCCACCGCCAACTCTTGGGTTACTCTTTGACCAACGAATAGTGGGATTGACCATTACAATATAATGCCTTCACGGCTGAAAGGGCGAGCATATTTGGTGGGACGGAGATTCGAACCCGCGACCCTCAGATTGCGAGTCGAGCGCCCTAACCACCTGGCCATGTACGTGTTCTGACTTAGCAAAACACAAAACGGCTACAATTTAAGTACAAAGAAGTTTCTCTATTACATGTTCTGACTTAGCATCATCCGTATTGTCATTAGATTTTAAAAAGGCGAATAAAAATAAATTATACTTTTACGTTTACATATTCTCACTTAACGCTAGCTCTTGACAAGAGAACATGAATTGGTAAAATAAAGTAAAAATTCAAATGTTCTGATATGCTCTATATGCCACAATACGAATCAAGGACTGTTTTAACTAAAAAAGTTGAACACTTTCATCATTAAATGTTGTTATGCAACGTCAAATGTCCAGTAACGAAATAGCTTTAGTATAAACTAGTCATTCCACATTTGTTAATAATCAAGCTCAAATAGGGCGAATTATATAAAACAAACATGTCTGCCCTAATTTATGACTGATCTACTAAACATAATAGGTTTTCTGCAGCAATCAAACGCTGTATTGATAGTATATTTGAGTATTGACTAAAAGCTATAACAATATATATATATATATATATATATATATATATATATATATATATA